ACCTACATCCAAAAAGACAGTTACGTAATTAAGGTAAACTATTTGTTGCTTGATTTGTTTTATAACGGTTGACCTACAACTTACCAATCACCTACCTAATTTAGAGTTAACTTTCCTTGCTGAAATTGTATTATTTTTGTGTAGATCTTCTAATGATTGGTTTTATCTTTCTCCTTGAATTTTGAATCGTGTAGGGCGAGACAGAATCCTTTGACGAAGTGCGTTTAAACTATGCTCATATATCTAAACAGGTTTCGTTGAAGACCAGAGAGTATTTCTTATTGACAATTTTCTTATTATTTTTCTCGATTCGGCGAATTAGGCTCTTGATAGGAAGTGAAAATCCAAATATCAGGTTTCCAAGGGACATTTTATTATAATTTTAATTTTACGACGTTTCGAATGCAACTTCATTCATTATCAAGTAGAGGACGAGTTCTGCAACAAGTGAATTTGAAATTTTGAAATGACAATAGTACAAACATAGGGTATTATGGATACAGATTGGAATCAAAGCTTGAATTACGAGAACAATTTTAACGTCCTGACAAATCCGGTAGTTTGTAAATTAATAGCTGGAGACTCCTGCCTGTCTCTTATACACATCTAGATGTGTATAAGAGACAGAATCAGAAGTGGGCTAATTTTCGTTGTCAATGTTAACAACAAACAAACAAACAAACAAATAAACAAACAAACAAACAAACAAACGCGAAGCTAAGCTAAGAAAAACGTGTTAAAAATACTATATTTCTGGTACTTTTATTCTCCATCTATCGCTTTTTCTGGGTTTGCACTTGAATTCCAGTATTTGTATTCTAGCTTCCTCATGACATTACTTCCATATCATGATGCCTCGCTCTAATCTCTCCTCTGTAATAATACATTTAGAAGAGAAATCGCGAAGTTGTAATACAAAAAATCACCGAAAAACTTAATTTCCTCTGGAAATTGATTTCATATTCAACTTGAAATTGATTTTTTTATATGCATTAAAGAAAAATTAAGGTGTTTAGAACTGATTAAACTCAATATTATTATCAGGAATGCTAAACTTTTAAAATTGGAAAATTATCCTTAGTAATATTTTCCTCAAAGAAGACACATGTTTGCGAGTACACTTCCAAGAATTGAAATTAAAAATTAGACCTGCAGAGCTTCAAAAGACATGCCGAAATAACACTATACGAAATATACAAATGAACAACAGATGTACAAATACAGATGAACAACATTTGTACTTATACAGATGAACATTTGTACATAGACAGATGAACAAAAACATTGCATTTGTATTGCAACATTTGCAATATGAAAATGAACAACAAAGGCGTTAAGGTCGGGGCCCTGATCACTGACATGAAACCATTCCCTGTTTTTAATTAATAAAATCAATTCCTTTTTGTTGGAATGGTGAGTGTGGGAGGCCTTTTTTTAAAAAAAGAAAAAAAAAACAACAACAAAACATTTGCAACCAAGAACTTCTCTGTCAGGGTCTGTATCCCGCGTGTATGGCACGACCGTGGACCCTCTGACCCCAGCGACCACAGGGGTGAGCACGACGCCAGCCACGAGCTTCGTATACAACGTCGTGCACGGGCTGGTGGCGGCCGACGGACGGCTGGTCAGAGTGGAGGCCACCACATCGGCGGCCAGTAACGATGCTATCTTGGAAATAATGGTCAGCCTTAGTCATAGTTACATGATTTATATATTTTGAATGAAAATCAGGTAAAGAAAATCTATTGAAAGTTTTAATCATAGTTAAACAGTTTTTTTAATGGGGAAGCAGGCAAATAAAACCTATTGTCGGGCTTACTCTTAGTTAAATAATTCCTATATATTAAATATAAATCAAGTATAGATGAATAATTGATCGATAGCTATACTCTTAATCAAACAGTTCCTAAATCTTAAGGGAAACCATGAGAAGGAAATCAATCGGCAGGATTACTCAATGATTATATGTCTACTAACCAGAATTCGTGATTACGTGTCGTGCATTCAATGTTGTGTGTGAAATTCATGAGTGAATGCTTGACCCTCAATCATTTTCGAGCTTAACACCCAATTCATGGTAGAGATTAAAATATAAAATTCTCATCTTTCAACTATTTTCAAGTGTAAAATATTTTCCAGAATTGCATTTTTCTGAATTATTTTCAAGCAGGTAGAGATAAAAATTCTCATCTTTCAACTATTTTCAAGTGTAAATTTTTTTTAAACTATTTCNTACACATCTAGATGTGTATAAGAGACAGCCATCAAATTTCCAAAATTCGTGTGTTGTGTGCTTTTCGCTTTAATCATAAATCTGCCCGACACACGTTTTTTGGGGCGAGCCATAATTTATTTTCTACTTTTAGTCCACAAGAAAAACGTGGTTTTTTAAAATGTTTTTTTTTAAGTATTTTATTAACTTACAAGCTGACGAACATCATCTTCATTCAACCCACAATTTGAAACCATCAAGGTACTCATAATGCACTCGTAATTACAGTAAAAGTTTGTGAAATTTTTATATTAGGTTTTAAAGAAGGGACTATATTAAAAAATTTGAAAATTAATAAATAGAAATTTTCCATGTAATAACGCAAATAATTCACAAATTCGAATGTTAAAACAAAAAACTATTGGAGTATTTATCAAACCGATGTGTAAATAATGAATACAATTCATATTATTCACAGCCCCCAGCGGGTATCAGTTGGTATCTCTGGGCACCGCGGGCTTGCCAGCTACAGGCGGCGTGCCTGCATCAGTGCTCGTTGATCCCCCGATTGCAGTCAAGCAGGGAACCTACATCGGCTTCGTCAACGCCAACGCCGCCCAGGTACTGTACACTTACTGTATATCGATAGATGATGGTCTATAGAACAATGATATGAAGCAGGGAACCTACATACATCGGCTTCGTCAACGCCAACGCCGCCCGGGTACTGTACGCTTACTTCTGATGATGGTCTAATGCGTAATAATCTGAAGATATGTGAAGCTTATTTAATGCTCTCTGAAAAACATGTTATTGGCGTCAATAATTTGTTAAATGACATAAATGTTAAGCTCATACGCGATGTATTGCATATGGTCATTTCTATAATGTTATTTATATGCTCGATTCTTATTTACTTTGAATATATGTTTCACCGCTTCAAGTAATTGTCGTTTGTGAGATCGACTCGACTGTTTTGTTGTTTTGTCTCTAACAAATGTGCATGTGGTGTTCAATTCTGCTGCATACCTCAGGAATACTTTTCTACAAGCCACTAAAATACATATTATTATGAGATGGCAGAATTTGCCATCCTAGTACCTATTTACATATATTATGTACTTATTTCCACCAAAATTTCAATATTTAATGCTTCTTGTAACTTGAAAATGAATGATTGTTCTATTCGAAAAGTCGTTCATAAACCAAACCTACTTCCTGAAACATGGCTTTCGATCTACTAACGTTTTCTGCATGAAGAATTGTTCCACTCTTTGATAATTTAAATCAACGAATTCTCTGGTCATTAATTACACGTGGAAAAAACATATATACACGTCCAAGTTATAGATAAGTAATAAATGAAGATCAAACATATCTCTTGAAATATTAAATATTGCAAAGTAGTGGTCGAGTAATGAATAACTCATGAAAACATTCCAGTTTGTGACTCAAATGAACTCGGTGTCCGGAGATCTTCTGGTTGACATCTCGGACACGACTCTGGTCACGGCGACCAACGTCAGGTCAGATGCTCTATTAGCGAGACTTATAGTATCGTATCCTTTCCAAATAATCTAATTTGATCATCCCGTGATATCTTAGCCTAATCAAAATTAATATCAGTTTAAGTATAGTATCCTTGATGACCAGTTTCGAAAGCATTACGGCAGCTTGATAAAGCATTTTCAAATTAATGATTAGCAACGTGACTTGCAAGTACAAGGGTTTAGCTTGAAATTAATTATGAGTCTCTAAACAAATTTAAAACAATATAACAAAGACAGTATAGCCGATCCACGACTAAATAACTTTGAACAAGAATTGCCACTGCATTGCTTACTGTAAAACCCCGAAATGATCTATGATAGATATCCAACTTAATACTGAGCACCATCGGTAACCTAATATTTGTGTAGATATCGAGGAATAATGTCTCGAAAATAGAGGTTAACAGGAGATATTGCCTTCTTGTACCGGTTATAAAGTCTTCCTAATTACTTCAACCAACTGCGTTTTTCCTCCATTTGTCGAGCAGTCACAGCGTACGTTTTTACGTCGAGGAGCACCCAAACGTAGGAGTGCTGCCGGACTTTAAGGTGGTGCTTGAAAGCCGCGAGCTCTCAGGCAGGCTTGGCTGAATCCCTATGGGAATCTATCACTACGTATAGACATTATAACTCCGCTCGTAAATGAAATATCAATCTGAAATTTTTCATGCTCATTCAGCTATTTATTTACAATTTCCCGACAGTTACAAAATATATGTAAATTTTTTATAACATCAGTTATGATAGAGTAAAATAATAGAGTAAAATAGAGTAAAATACTTGCGAGAGATGCGTCTTACCTAAATTTTTGAGACATGAGGAAGTAGTACTATTTATTCTCTTTTGATCGGTATTAAAGTCATATTTGAATCACCCTCTATTTTATAGAAATTAGCTAACAAAATACTTTTTCATCACTCCTGAATCGTAGATTTCCCATTTTCCTTGGGACCTGGCTCCGAGCATGTCAAAGTGTTGTACGTTGTCGTACAGTTTCCTTAGCGGTCATAAATTAGCTCGCGTGAAGTGGCCGAGTCGATCGTCGTCTACCCTCTTCCAAGGGGGTAGCGGGGCAGCCTCCTTACCCTCCTTACCCCCTTACCCTCCTGGCGCGTTTAAATTACAACCTTCCATTGTTCTTTCGCTGTCTCTTATACACATCTAGATGTGTATAAGAGACAGGGTCTGGCTAGGATATCATATTACAAAGAGTACAAGCTCGAGGGTAGCGACAGGCTGAGCTTCGGACAGATCAAGGATTTTACACGATGGTCGCGAAAACCTCGCTCTTAGACTTCGCACGGCTTTCAGTCAGGGCCTTAACTGCACTAAGCCTTCTGTCGTGCCAGTGGCAAACGTCCCTACGCCGTATGATGTCACCACCGAGCAATTCGCCTACGAAAGTGCCATCGATATTTCAATTTCGGTAAGCACAGTGAAGTTGTAATTCTTCGAGCGAACGAGTTTGTTAGAGTAGCCATTAGCGCACTTTCTGGCAGTTTGAAATTAATGTCTTTTAACCTCTAAAACGATCTTCTCTTCTGCTTTTGTTCTTTATACTATGAAGCTATAGATAAAATTGTTCTCTCATAAACAAGGCAACTAAGCATTATAAAAATCATGTTTGATTGAATTATAGCGATGAACTCACTACAGTTCTGTCAAATAGCATCTCAAATGAGTCTTGAGGATAAGACAAATATCAGTAATTTCTTCTTATAAACTTTTAAAAAAATTTCAATCATATTTTTTATTACTTTTATGTAACTTAACATTAAATAATTCGTGAGCTTAGACTGAAAATGTAAAAAATTATCTCTGCAATTTTTGGTCTCGTTGTGACAAACTGAATCGATGATCACAAATCGTTAGTTCTCTTGGAATGCAGGCTGTTCATTTTTAGTTTAAAATCTCGTTTTTCGGTGAATGTTCAGTTCAAATGAACGATGCAAATACATTAATTTCTGCATAGTTGGCGTTATTATCACAAGAAAAGTATATATAAGTAGGATTTACACAGAAAATTCGTGTTCAAAATTAAGTTAGATTCATGGGGATAACTTTTTCTACACAATGGTTTGTTAGAGAAACACTTCGCAAAAAATTGTCAATAGCACTGCAATATATATAAACTATGCTCACAGACGATGCACAGTTATATTAGGATATTAGACGAAGTTTAACTGAAATTTAATAGAGATGTTCAATTTGACGAACTATAGAATTGCATATTTTTCAAGCATACGTTACATTTGAATGAGTTGATTATAACTTTTGCATCTCATCTACCTGACAGGGACTATATAGGGAGAATTTCAAACAGGAAATCCTTCATTTCTGAGCTAACGATAAAAATTTCTTCACATAATAAGGTAACCGTAATTTATTTATTTTATTTTATTAACTTTTAACTTTATTCAAACTCAGGTGACGAGCCCGATGGGCCCAGTCAAGTCCGACGCCCTGACGGCGCTCTGCCAGGTTCAGATCCTGCCGCCCACGGTCGACCCAGCCGTCATCGTGGCTTATGGCTCCGGCCTGCCCCTCGATATAACCTTCACGCAGGTAATACATCGTAGTCTACGACTATGGCCAGCCCCTTATAATTTTTATGTATATTGGTTGATAATGCAATGATAACCACACATGCAAAGGATAGTAAGTAGCTTGTTCTATTCTCAGAACATTAAAAAGCTATGAAACAATCACTGCAAAGATAAATAACAACCTCCAGCAATGCATGAATGTAAATTATTTTGGCAATTTAGAAATTATAAACATATTACTAAGAAAATAAATATTAAAATAATGTACAAATATTTCCTTGAATTTCAGGGCGCCCCAATTGTAATGTTCATGAACATCGACGATGTGCAGTACTACAGCTACCATGACGGTAGGTCCCTAACTAACTAATGACGCTCTAAATATTTAATCAAACGCTTTGTATATACTTTCGTCAATGCAAACTTCTTCATGAGTGGCCCAGTGGTTAAAGTTCAGAGTACCAAGATTGACGCACTAGAGAGGCGCGGGTTCGATCCCAGCTCTGTGCGCCAGTTTCTGGTCAGAATCGGCAAGGAGGCCGGGCGGTTAAGCACAGCAGAATTGTAGCAGTGCGTTGCGAGTTCGAGACCGCAACATGCTGTGAATGTTCTGCGATGTTAAGAATCGGCGATAGGCCTACGGCCTAATAACGCTGAAACCGCTATTATTATTATTATTATTATTATTATTATTATGTACGATTTATTTAAATAGTAAGTATTTGAATTGATTTCCGAATTTTTAACGTTGAAATATATTTTCAGATCTAATGTTCACTGTGTATTGGAAGATGTAAATATTTGCTCTGTTTGTTCAGACGCGAGTGTGGGTGGGAGTCACACGTGGTCGCAGCCTCTGCTGTACCCCATGGAAGGACAGTACACCGTCGTAGGGGAGGCCTTCAATGCCCTCAACAGAGTGAGTTTACCGCGGTATCTAAACACAATGTAAATTCTTTCAGAATCAAACACACAGAGATCAAAATGTAATTGTCCTATCTTGTCATTTTTCTTCACGTCCGCTCATACAGTAGACCACGGGAGTGTAGATCACGCTGACGTAATAATTATATATTGAAGTAAACAGTATTCATTCAGTACACTTAATAAACGGGTCGGAAAACATTTAAAAAGAGGTCGATTTCAATATATTAGAAGATCTCAACGTCAATAACATATATAAAAGACATCAGTTTAAGATAAGGTATGGTCCAAAATACTAATATAATCGCTTGCGGTATAATCGCTATTTTGTCTATCCGCGATAAATTCCTTAGTATAATTATGCTTTCCTAACCCACCAGGTGAACTTCACGAGCTTCATTCGCGTGATCCCGAACATCACTGATCTGTGGACTTTGACGGCCGCTTGCCCCTGCTACGACTGGGACTCCGGCTACACCTTGACACTTTCATGGCCCGCCACTGCGCACCCACCCTGGAACGCTACCATCAACATCACCGACGACATCATCCTCCGCGATGGATCTCCGCTCTCCGAAATCGTCAAAGGTACGGAGTGGAATCGATCCTTCGACATCGTCAATGGTAATTAGTGGTTCCTAGCCTTCGAAATAGTCTAAGTTATGGTGTGGAATCTATGCTCCGAAATTGTCAAAAGTGATCAGTAGTCTCTACTCTCCGAAATTATCAAAGATAAGTTTACGGGAATTGTCTTCGTTACACTCAGAAATTGTCAGAGGTGAGCCGTAGTCTCTACTCTCCGAAATTGTCACAGATGAGCAGTAGTCTCTGCTCTCCGAAATTATCAAAGGTGAGCAGTAGTCTCTACTCTCAGAAATTGTCAGAGATGAGCCGTAGTCTCTACTCTCCGAAATTTTCACATGTGAGCAGTAGTCTTTACTCTTCGAAATTGTCAAAGATGAGCAGTAGTCTCTACTCTCAGAAATTGTCAAAGGAGAACAGTAGTCTCTACTCTCCGAAATTGTCAGAGATGAGCAGTAGTCTCTACTCTCCGAAATTAGCAAAGTTGAGCTGTAGTCTCTACTCTCCGGAGTATCCTGTAAAAGGGAGACCGGGGTACTACAACAACTCTCCGAAATTGTCATAGGTGAGCAGTGGTCTCTGCTTAAGACGTCAAAGGTGCACACAAAGAGCCGATTGCTTATGAATGGTCTGAATTGCACTCCAATAGATTATGAACTTTGTATTTATGCTATTAGTTTTTTTAATGTAAGTGATGTCTAATTTTTTTGCAATGGATGAATTTGATAAACCATAATTATTAGGGCTCGTTTACCTTAGCTGAAACATGTGACCTTATGCATCTGTTGATTCAAGAACAAGGTTTCATCTGTCATGATTTTAGTGATCAATAAACTTATACCTTATTCATCTGCTTCTCCTTAAACTAACTCCCAAAAATTTTTACGTGATGATAAGATAGAATATTCTTTAATCATGAAGTTTATATAATTTGAAATACTAATAAGTTCAGATACCATTATCGTTCAATCCTTGAGCTTACATGTGCTTAATAATAATTTACCAGATGTGAATTTTCAAACGGAATATTCTTAGAATTAATTTCATACTGAAATGTTCATCTTTTACTCTGAATTTGCCAGCAAACTTCATCCAAAACTTCGGGACTTATGACGGAGTGTCACTTCCCGGTGGAGCCAGCGGTGCTGCAGTCCCGCTCACGTGGAGTGGCACGGTCGTGTCGAAGGCAGGCAACCACTCGGTGGTGGCGACTCTTGCCAACGAAGTGTCGGTCACTACGGCGCTGGACTCGGTGAGTCATGCTGTCGAGAGCAGGCAACCACTCGGTGGTGGCGACTCTTGCCAACGAAGTGTCGGTCACTACGGCGCTGGACTCGGTGAGTCATGCTGTCGAGAGCATTTAACCGCTCGGTGGTGGCGACTCTTGCCAACGAAGTGTCAGTCACTACTACCCTGAACTCTGCAACTAATTTGTGGTTGCGACTTTTGCGAATGAAGTGTTGGCAACAATGACGCCGCATAACGCGAGTCCTGCTTTTGTAAACAATTGCCATTATTTCTCCGAATGTAGGATTCGATGTTTCGTAAATGACTTGTTTAATATTTATTAATGTTATCACCGAAAAAATCTACGAAAAAAGTCAATAGATTATTTTTACTCAACGTTTTGCAGCTCTCTTTTATCATAGATTGATGATATATCCACATAAATTCTTTAGGTTACGAATTTTTGTTAGCCGAAGAAATTATCTGGAACTATTTTTAAATAAAAAATTGTTGTCGCTACGTAAAATATGGTTCAAAATTCATTAAAAAGCAGGATCCAGAAAAAACTATTTTGGCTGAATGATTTTATGGCATCTTATTAAAACGTGCACTTGATCATCGATTTCCTCTATCTGAACCTGAGCCAATTTTTTTCCTTTCACCCGTACCTGCCGACGCACAGTATGAGGTGCGAGAAGCCATACGCAATGTGTCGGCCATTATCAAATGGATTCTGGACGGGAATGAGATGGATGGAATTGGTCCGAACTTCAACATCTACATCGTAGACCAGAGCGTCATCATCTACCCCACCGCGCGAACGGGTAACTGTCATTACTTGTGGAGAGATGAAATAGTCGAGCACACCATATATGTCTAGAAATTCTTGTTTTAAAGTATGAAAATGTGGCAATGAACTACGGTTTGAAGTGTGTTTTTTTTTGTTGCTCGATAGGCGAAGGCGAGTACTGGAGGCTCAGGATCTTGGAAAACGGCGTGGAAGAAATTGGCCAGCAGTTCCCGTATGTCAAGTTCTTCTTCAACGTCACCTTCCCTGCCGTGAGCTGAGAATTCTTGAACGCAAATTCTGCCTAAAATTATTGTACAAAAACCATTAGTATTCTACTTAGTGAGGATGAGAAGCTTGATGAGGACATAACTTCAACATGAGGACATAACTCACTTGAAATGTATAATAATGTGGAAATATGAAGATATATTGAGGAGTAAATAGGCCGTAGACTTTAGAGCTGCTGAAACACAATCACAACGGCTACTTTAGGTGCTACAACAATGTCACCATACGCACTGGAGGGCAACTTCATGTAGCTAACAATGTTACCATATACATAAGAGAGCAACGTCGTGTAGCTAACAATGTCACCATACACACTGGAGGGCAACTTCATGTAGCTAACAAAGTCACCATATACACACGAGAGCATCTTCATGTAGCTAACAAAGTCACCATATACACAGGGGGGCAACTTCGTGTAGCTAACAATGTCACCATATGCACAGGGGGGCAACTTCGTGTAGCTAACAATGTCACCATATACACAGGAGAGCAACTTCATGTAGCTAACAAAGTCACCATATACACAGGAGAGCATCTTCATGTAGCTAACAAAGTCACCATATACACAGGGGGCATCTTCATGTAGCTAACAATGTCACCATATACACAGGAGAGCAACTTCATGTAGCTAACAAAGTCACCATATACACAAGAGAGCATCTTCATGTAGCTAACAATGTCACCATATACACAGGAGAGCAACTTCATGTAGCTAATAAAGTCACCATATACACAGGAGAGCAACTTCATGTAGCTAACAAAGTCACCATACACACAGGAGGGCAATTTCACCCTGATAGTGAGCGGCCACAATACAGTTCAAGGCTGGATCGACTCACCGCCCATCAACATCACACTTGTCAACAAGATCGCCAACTTCAGACTCGAGGATGACCTCACCCTCGCCAAAGCGGTCTGTCTGGTGCAATAAGTCGAGAAAAATAGGTATATGTATGTGCCGGTATAAATCTAGTATAAGTGACTTATGAAAAATTGTGGGAATCGACCTATCAACGTCCGAATACCAAAAAAATGTTGTGAAACTGTGATAAAATGTAAAAATTTTGAGATTAATCATTTATATGAGCATGAGAAAAATAGAAATGGTGATAGTGGAACAATCAAATAAAAAAATTTCGGGGTTAGAAAAAAGTGAGCCGATGAGAACACAAGCGAAAGAGCTATTTTCGAAAGAAAGAATACAAAGCGATACTAAGCTATTTTCGAAAGCTACAAAGCTACAAAGAGCTATTTTCGAAAAAAAAAGACAAAGCGAAAAGCGACTCATCCAGACAGAAAAGATGCCGCAAACTTTTTAACGTTTTACTTCACTCATTTCAGGGTGTACCGAAGCAAGTGTTTGGCGCATACGACATCCTCACTCCCATCTCCTGCCTGGTGGTGGACTGGGGGGATGGGTCGCCCGTGGAAACATATGGATTTCCATCGCGCTGCAAGACAACGCACGCCGACGCCAAGTACATGCACCCGCTAAAATCCGCTCCTGTCAAGCTAATGCACACATATCAGTGAGTCGGTTTTGTGTATGGTCCTACATGCACAGACGTTTAAATGTAATAAAATTATATTTTGACTCAGCTGAGCTTGGGCTGATTTGCTACGTTTTTTTTAGATTCAGCATTCGCGTTAACCTTTGTGGACAGAAATTTCAGGATAATCAACCATTCATTCCGAACAAAAATTCATCAAGAGTTATCAGCCTGATTAATCTATTCTTCTCAGTAACTCAGCCGTACTCTTTACTCACCTCAAACATTACGTTATGGCTGAAGTAATAATTGATTTGTAACATGTAAATGATTTTATTGACAGAGATTGTGAGCGCTTCATTATTTATCTCTCACTCAACAGAAGTTTCTGGTTCACTCGTAATCTAAAGTAAAAATTTAATTTTCTATAGAGTTTAAAAATTGGCATCTCGAATCACGAACTTATGAACAATCAAACATCGTTTCGTTACATTTATTTGATGATTTTGACGTTTGAATAAATTTTGCTACAAAGGATTTTGAAACAAACTTTTCTCCAATTTCAATGCATGGCGCTGACATACAAATATGTTAAAAATAAATAGTTATATTTTCAAATCAGTTTTCCTGCAGTTATGCGGGTAACAAAAGCTATCGACGCTTTGAAAACAGATATTCATGTTTTATTCAAGTTTTATTCACGTTTATTCATCGTTGTTTAACCAGGAAAGTGGGCGTATACGAGATCAACGCACTGGCGTTCGACTTCTACATGAACCTGCCTTCAGTTCTGGAGATGGTCGTGGAAGATCTCGCCTGCAGGTTCCCGCGGGTGTGGATCGTGGATGCGGTAAACTACACCCACTTTGCGCGCTCTCAGTACAGGATGTTGCCTGTACGAGAGGAGGGATTGAGCATCATCAACTGCAACTTGACCTACACGATTAGGTGAGACGAGCAGGGATATTTGACCCTGTCTCTTATACACATCTAGATGTGTATAAGAGACAGACATTGTAGGGGAGTTGGTATTATCGGCGTGCGAGCGGAACATCGTATAGGGGAGTTGGTATCATCGGCGTGCGAGCGGAACATCGTAGGGGAGTTGCTATCATCGGCGAGTGAGCGGAGTATCATGGGGGAGTTGGTATCTTCGGCGAGCGAGCGACATGAGGGAGTTGGCATTTTCGGCGAGCGAGCGGTACATCGCAGGGGAGTTGGTATCATCGGCGTGCGAGCGGAACATTGTAGGGGAGTTGGTATTATCGGAGTGCGAGCGGAACATCGTAGGGGAGTTGGTATTTGGGATCATCGGCGAGCGAGTGAACTTCATGAAGGAGTTGGTATCTGCGGCGAGTGTGAGAAACATCATGGAGGAGTTGATATCTTTAATAATTCGGTGAAACATCAGCTTGGGTATCTTACTCGGCGAGTGAGTAAACATAGCTAAAATTTATGATCGTTGACGAACGACATCAGATAAAATTTATCGTTCTCGTCGAGTAAGCAAAACCTCAGCTAAAAGAACAAGCCGTCGGCGAGCAAGTAAAATGATAACTGACTCAAAATGTGGGACCACTCCGAGTTTCAGCGGAAAATTTATATTTTTCAATAACTGACCGAGGAGCTTAGCTGTGCGTCAGATTGTTTCTGATTGACAAATTGGGCAACTTGTTTTGTCAAATAACATTTTTATGCTGTTGAGTAAGAAAATTTTCGTCGAGAGCTCATAATGAAAAACCTGATAATTAATATACGCATACTAATAAAAATATGAATCATACCTATGAACAATCTACTGGTTCAGAAACAACTGAGTTCGTCTTTTTAAATGGAAATAAATTTCTTAGGTCCGGCACTCCGCTTCAAGTTTCCAACTGCACCAGCACGACCACGAGCGACGGGGTGGATATGTCCATGGATCCTCCCCTGTGTGAAGAAAGTAAGATTACCATTAAAGCAGATGTTACGTTGGTGATATTACGAATTACGTTGGTGATATTTTGGCTTTGATGTTGTTTGTATTCATGTGCAACTTTGCTGAAGTCAAATAACCGTTAGCTCGCACTGTGTAGAATTTTTAGCTTCAATCGAATCGAATTCGAATCAAATTGAATTTTTGTTTCACAAATCTTCTTAAATGAATTCGTTTTATCTGCTGTAAAGATCATTGTGTGAATTTTTCAACAGGCTTTCCCACCGGAACTGGGAGTTCATCTCTGGCCATTGCCGCCAGCTTATTTGCCAAAAATCCCACCGTGGAAAGATACAACGTGCGATTGACAATAGTCAATGCTAACGGACGACCTGGGTGAGAAAATCTTTCCAGAATAGATTGTTTGCCTTTGCCTTCAGATTGAAAGTTTATTTTTTATAACACACAGATTAAAAAAATTAAAATAATGAGTGTACTCATGCATTGCAGGTATTCTCAAATAACCGTACAAGTAAACAAACCGCCAAATGGGGGAAACTGTATCATGAACCAAAACGACTCATTCGCCCTCATTTCGAGATACGACATCTTCTGTAACAACTGGAAAGATCCTGAAAACCTCGGTTTAGGAGAATATGTATACTTCTACTGTCAAAATAAAACCGACGGAACAACATCCAAATCCATAATGGCCGCAACCAAGCGAAACAGTCTAGGTGTTATTCTGCCCGTTGGAGTGCTTGATGTTTACGTCAGCATTTGCGACATACTCGACTCGTGTACAGACGTCAACGTAGGCAAGGTCGATGCTGCGATGATATCCAAAAATCAGTTTGAGGAAGCTGCAACCAGCGAACTCATACAGCAATACAAAGACCAAGGGGACCAGTCGATGGTGGCGATGCTCACAAAAGCTTACAACTCAGTTCTCCAGAACGCTGAATGGATGTCTCTTCGGCCAAATGACACAGCTAACATGACGCAAGCTGCGATTGATCAACTTCTAGTGCTACTTTCCAACATTTCGGCATCTGAGATAGAAACGTTGCAAAGCGAAGGGCCTGCAACTACTCTGAATCAAGTCCATATCAAAATGGAAACTCTTAGTAGCGCCCTTCAAGGTCTCCTCCAGTCGGAAACGGCTAACTATGCCATTGATCTTTCTACCAGGGGTAAGGTCTTGGAGGTTCTCCGAAGAATGAGTAGTAACATTAGGAATTTTGACGTAGCTTCTCCTAAAGAGTTAGAACCTTTTATGGAAACTTCTTTAAGTACAATGACAGCCATGATGATTAGCGCAAATAGTGTTCCAAAAAATGGTAACAAAGCTCCGCCTCGGGACATGTTGTTTGCTGCAGACATGACCTACGACACAGACATAGGTGATGATCTCGATTTGGTCGTACCTACAGGAACTACTGACGTGCTTACTAATAGTGTTCTACAGAACTCAGGTAGAAAGTTTGCGAATCACGTAACTGAGATGCTTGAAATTTTGCAAGGCATCAGCGCAGAAATTCAGGCTAAACTCGTTAAAGGAGAATTTGTTTCAGCAAAAACTGATTCGGGAGCATCAATGTTAATTACGAAAATTGGAGAGGAAATGCTCGTAAATGGACTTACTATCAAATCGCCAGAGGAGCAGCGAGCAAAAACTATCTTTCCCAAAAGGTTTTGCCCTTCTAAACAGTTTGACGAGTATTCAATCTGCCGTACAGAAATAGGAATCACAGTTGTGCATTGGCCATGCATTACGCATTACTACAGTGCGACAGCGAATTATTTATCATACAAATCAAGTATCATGCAGGCAGAAGTTTCTTTGGAGCAAAAAGTGGTTGAAGTGAGTGGTCAGAAAAATCCCATCATTTTTGAAATACCGAGAACACCAGAAACATTACCCGAACCTCGACGTGCGAATGTAACTGCAAATATGAACTCAAACATTAATCTCGTGTATCACTACTTCAACATTTCCATGCCCATGGGAGCGTACACTTTTGAAATAACTCCATCAAAACCAAATGCGCGCATGATTCTTTTGATCGGACACAACATGTTTCCTACGCCAACGAACTACCTAAGAGCGCAAAACGTAAGCGAACTTCCCCTCGTTAACGGAAGTCGAGTCTTTTTCGTAAATTCTGCGCAGAATGGGAACAGAACTGGGAAGTTTGTTGCAGGTGTGGGTGTCCTGAAACCCGGAGCTACTCTGTCCAACGTCACACAAGGAGATCTCGATAAAACTTTCCGTGATGATTACGATTTCCGCATTTTCGTCTCTGCCTGCTATTTCTTCAATCAATCGACGACGCTGTGGGTCGGGGACGGCTTGGAAGTAAATGACGCTGAATATTTCTTGACGAAGTGTGCAACTCCTCATTTGACAGGATTTGGAACAGGATTCTTGCCAACTCCTAACGACGTAGATTTCGATTTCCTTATCGCAAACATGGGATTTCTCGACAACTCAACTCTTTATGTAGTGCTTATTCTGTTTCTTTTCCTCTATATAATCATGATGTTGTGGTCTCATTTCAAGGACAAAAAGGATCTTGAAAGGCTGGGAGTCATACCGTTCCCAGATAACAAGCCTGAAGACAAGTACATTTACGAAATTACCACTTTCACTGGTCCGGACAGCGAAGCACCATGTGAATCGAATATATTTATGATTTTATCAGGCGAATATGGCGAAAGCGAAGTGCGATCGTTACCTAAGCCAACACTCAACTTGTACCGTCGGTATGATCGATACGGCTTCGTGATGACAACGGCTGCTCCGCTGGGACCAATCCACTATCTGCGAGTGTTCCATGACAATTACGGACGGCCTCCCTACGATTCCTGGCAGCTTGAACGTGTAGTCATCCGAGACTTGCAGGAGCGCAGAATTTATACGTTCGAGACCAATGCATGGCTTTCTTACAGCCATGAAAGTGGAAAAGTAGATCAAACTTTCGTATGCGCCGAGAATAACGAAGAAGGAAATAGCTTCTCCAATGAAATGTACAACAGGACAAACAGAGGAGCGAACCAGGATCATATGTGGATGTCGATGTTTCTGCGTCCAATTGGTTCCAGGTTTTCTCGCAAGGGACGTGTCACCGTGAGCACTCTCTTTTTGTATCTGTCGATGGCGGTGAATGCTATGTGGTACCAAACTAAAAAAGAGAGTGGAATAGACGCTTACTTGTACATCGGACCCATACCATTAACCGTTGATCTCGCACTGACTGGCTTGCTGGTTCTCCTAGTCGTCTATCCCGTGACCTTACCCTTTGTGATGATCTTCAAGCGGGCTCGGCCGAGAAAATTCAAACGATGCCGGGCTTTGGATGCCATTGAAAAACAGAAAAAGAAACAGTTGAAAGACTCCGGCTTAGATGAGGTCTTGGCTGAAGCAAAGAGTAAGATTCCCATCGATGAAACCAAGTTGGTTAAGCGAACGAAAGACACACCTGTTATTAAATGTCTGCCATGGTGGACTCGACTCATCGCCTGGATTCTCGCTCTTCTACTCATTGCTCTTTCAGCCTTCTTTGTTTGGTCATACGGCATCATGTGGGGAAACATCAAAACAATCAAGTGGTTTTCATCTTTTTTTTCGAGCTTCTTAATTTCATTGGTTGTAACTCAGTGGTTAAAGGTAATTTTTGGTGCTGTGTTCCTCAGTATTTTCTCAAAAGTCCGCATGGTGACGGAGGACATTGACTGTGACGAAGATTTGCCTCACTTGAAGCCTGACGAAGAATGGAAACATTCAGAGGAGCTTGACCCACAAAATGTGCGCAGCGTGCACCGAGTGAAAGGTGTTGACATCAGCGAAGCAGAAGTAGCATTGTTGCGTACAAAATTAAAGAAGAACCGGGAAATGAAGTCAGTTTTGAGGGGAGTAATTGTTTACTGCGGCTTCCTTGTGATCCTCCTCATTATCGCAAACGATCGAGCAGACTATAATGCTTTTTTGATGAGACAAAACCTCTACAACACATTTATGGATCCTCTTCATCCTGAATTAGCAGCTTCAAAAGTAAGTATATCGAAGTTTTGGGGCATTCGTCGACTTTTTAGGAAATGCATAAATTTTTTTTTTCATTTTATATGTGTTTTTTCAGTTAAAAAAATATTCAGATGCACGTACGCAATTCATTTCAAAATGTTGCTGAAAAATCCGGAAGAATTATTTAGTTTAACGATCATGACTTGTTGTGCTTGCCCAACGGATTGAGACTATACACAATTCGGGACACACAAATATTTGTTGAAACTCAGACGGGGAAAAATTATTGGATTCACCCTTATTTAGTCAAATCAAATTAGTGACATTCATTTATTCTTTCCAGATGGCATCGAAGGATGATTTCTGGCGTTGGATGTACGAGGTAGTTCTGAAGCAAATTAGGTGTTCTCGATTCTACAATGGGAAGCCTCCTCTGCAACTGAAAGGATTCCTTAACGACCAGAACAACCGTATTATGGGCTATGCCATACTCATGCAAAACAGGAATCAACGATTCGCTTGCAATGTGGTCCAACCGATGGATGACATTATTTCTGACTGCTCAGGAACAAGAGGACTCGATATCGAAGACCAAACTGATTTCTGCGCCGAATGGACTATAAAGAATGGGTCGATGCGTGAAACTTGCTTTGTTGAAGAATTCCATTACCGCACCGCATCTCAGCTTCAAACATTGCCAGAGATTGGAACTTTGGGAATCTATGGCGGAGGAGGTTATGTATTTCGCCTCAAGGGGCACATCGACGATGTTACCAAAAACTTGAAGCGAATACAAGCAATGCACTGGATTGACCGCCGCACCCGAAAAGTTAGTCTCTCATTTTCTGTTTACAATGCCAACGTGAACTTGTTTGCTACATGTTTGATAAGTGTCGAGTTCGTCGAAGGAGGTGGGGTGGTCGTTCGAAGCCGTTTTGAACCAGTCAAACTCCTCAACTTAGGCTCATCTTTTTATGATAAATTTTTGATTCTTTGTGAAATCCTATTTGTTCTAGCCACGGTCTTTTTCACGCTAAAGGAGATTTGGGAGATAAAGAAACGAAGATGGGAATACTTTTCGTCTTACTGGAGCTGGACGGAATTGTCGCTTCTTTTCTTCTCATATATGGAAGTGTTCATGTATTTCTACAAAGCTCTACTCATCCAGGAAGTAATGCGAGTTTTTAACGAGACTCAAGGGAATGCGTACGTAAGAACTGACTCAGCCGTATTGGTGGACCAGTACTACGTTTGGACCATGGGCGTGATCATGTTTGCCTCTATACTGAAGCTCATCAAGCTTTTGCAGTTCAATAAACGAATGGATGTCTTGGCTCTTACTATCCGCCGGTGTTGGGACGACCTTTCATACTTCCTCATTGCGTTCACAGTGATTTTCTTCGCCTTTTGCGCACTATTCTACTTCATGTTCCTCACTCAACTGCAAGATTTCTCATACATCACTGGATCAGTAGTTCAGTGCTTCTCGATGCTTCTGGGAAAATTCGAGTTCCAATCCATGCAACAGGCCAATGAGTTTTCCCCAATCTTGTTTTTTGTATTTTCTTTGTTGAATAGCATGATCCTCGTCAACATCATGCTCACAATCATCTTGCAAGCCTTCACTGAGATCAAACTCGAGCTGCAAAAAAGAAGCAATAGGTATGATATCCTGGACTTTATTTGGTTCATTGCCAAGAAAACAGCGCGTTTGCAGCCAAATCCCGTGAACCAAATCCTACCCAGCAACGACTTCAAGAACCCACGAGCAGCTGAGTATGAAGAAGATGGTCAGCTGCCTGATAAGGTTAGTTGTCATTTTAATTAATCCCTTGAAACACTTGGATTTAACCATTATGGGATAAGTCTTTTTGCAGTTAATAGGGACATGCAAAACAGAATTTTTTTTGAAAAATTTTCTTAGTAACTTCGCCATACATGTGATGAGAAATCCATCGATGTTTTTGATGTAGTGTTCATCCGGGTGGAGCGTGAGGTATGTTCAATAATAATCGCTCGGCATATTTTCACAGGTGGATCAACTGATGGTCTACATCAACGACACATATTTCGATGGGAAGCTCAACACGAAGGACTCGATGGCGATGAAAAGGGCTTTTGCAATCCACAGGAAAGCCGTTTTTGGGCCCACCAAACGAAGAATTTTCAGCAGCGAGGATTAAAATATCACAACATTATGCACCTGTTTGACAGGTCAACTGAAAGGCCCCACGCCATCTATAATCGCATTTAATTACTTATTTTCCGTTATTTTGAGCAGGCATGAGGGATCATCATCATCTATCAAAAATTACGGATAATTCGTGCCACGAAAAATTGTTATCGACTAGCTTGTGGTCATTGTGTGCGAGTATCTCAATACTATCGTGGGTGGGCGATTCAGCACAAGAATCTGGATTGCAATAATCTCATAGTATATTCTCATATATTCAATTGTTTGTGATATAGTTAATCTTTATGGGAGTGAAATATATCGTAATATTAATAGAAAGCACCCAATAATGAATCATAATTCATGATATAAAATGAGCCTAACTCTTCTTTATGCACGTCTTCTATAGCAACCGAAATTGCACGGCTCGTTAACCCTAAGGTAATTATTTAGCTTTAGTATTACTAGGAAGATATGGTTTAAAGACTTCACATGATTACTTGCCCAATTAATTAAATCAGCTGAGAAAGAATAAGTTTATCAAACAAAGCATTAATCGAAGAAAATGATTTTCACAGAAACGTCACTCATTGTTCCTTATTAATTTATTGACGTTGGCTGACGTGAGCCAACGAGTCACATTAAGCACGTGCGCTCATGCTATGTAGTTTAAATGTATTTTTAGCCACTATTAAAATGTGTGTGCTACCATTAAACGTCACTTCAAACTAGTTAAGGTTTGATGGGGTTTATAAGCCTATACAGATTTTGACAAGTGTGATATATTGTATTGTTTTCCGATCGAGCGTAAACTATTTGATATCTACTTGAACACACGGACTGTGATATATTCTTAAAATTATGGATCAATAAACTGGACCATGAAATGACTGGTTAATATACCACCTTGTAAGAATTGAATGATCAGATGTAAGTAATGCAAGTTACATGGGATATGTTTAATGAAGAAAGTAATATTTTCGAATTTACGGTGATTGAAGGCAAACTGAATAACGATGTACTTCGAAATATTGTTATCACTTCAAGGCCAATTACTTCCAAAATTGGCCTTTATATATATTAAGAGATGTACTCCTACGCAAATTAGCGCTGATTGAGCATGATCATGAACGGACCTGCGGTGAAACTACAACCAAGCTAATGATTATGATCTGCTTTAATATCCCAGAAGGTCGCAAATTGTTTATAACTTCCAATAACTTCTATATTGTATAGATGAATCAGTCCGAAATAGTCAATTATATATTCCTGAAACGAATATTGGAACTGTTTTAAAATGATTTTAAACAAATGAATATTGTAGTCATGCCTTTAATGATATCTGCTCTTGAAAAATGACATTTGAGATCGTAACCGAACAATTTTTTTGCCGTGATGCACAGACTGGCAATCCAAATTCACTAAAAAGAGTAAAAAGTTATTTAGTAAAAAATATTGCGTAAAAAGATATTCAAACACGCGAATCAAGTTCTGCGAAACTCAAAAGGCAATGCCGGCAAAAATAATACAGGTCTTTATAGGAGGTCAGTGGAGGGGGGGTTCAGACAGCCGTCGTGTAAACGGCTCCATATGTTTAACATGGACAACAGATGTCTCTTATACACATCTAGATGTGTATAAGAGACAGATTATAAGCTCTTTCTTGTAAAACAAAATATACTCCACTTCTNCGAGGTCAGTGATTGGGCTCAGACAGCCGTCGTGTAAACGGCTCCACATGTTTAACATGGACAACAGAAGCTGATGATCGAGGTCAGTGAGACCACAGGAAGCGGTTGTACAGATGTCGTCTCCACATCACAGCCCCTCCTGTCCGGTAATGTTGCCAATCCTGTTCGGCTATTGACCAATAGTCGAAAATATCAGTACATATATATATATAGACTTTGTATAATATCCTGACTATATTAAAAAGAAGTCCAAACGACGAATTAAAAGTTTTACAAAATGAATACTAGCATGTTAATTTGCTATTTTGAAACGCATCTAAATGACTGTATATGTATAATATATATACGAGCTTAATAAAACCCCAAATCAAGTAAAATAAATTATATTACAAAATCTTATTATTAATATCATATTATGATAATAAAAAGCAATATATAATAATTTAAAAAAATATCCTCACACAGGGAGCGCGTTTCTCATGGCCGCTTTCATCGAAGGCTTGGCCACCCTAGAGTTTGTCGACCTCACCGTCGCCATGACGCAGTCAGGCGAGCGCTACATCTTAAAGCCATCTTTGTTCAATATTAAATTCTTGAACATTTGGTTTAACATGTAACTTTATTTATACATGTCAAAATTTGTTTACGTTTTTGCTTGTAGGTTCGTGTAAAACTGGGTGGGAAGGATTGGATCAGAGATTTAAATTTGATATCGAATTTAATTGAATGAATTTCATTTCAAAGTATGTAAAATTATTATTCATGTTTTGGAACGTGAGTTTATAGTTCCACGTTTGAAATATTAATTGAACACTGATTTTTCTAATTATCAAACATTAGTTTTATTGCTGTCATCGGAATTTGGGACAACGGGATTGTTAAAAACTTAAGAAAATGTCGATCCTGGCTGATGCCGGATTACCCTGATATATAGTTATGGATAATTATGAGGGAAACGTTTGGTATTCTGTAGGCTTCATATCTAAGCGTGTGAAAACAGTTTGATGAACTTTTCACATCCTATGAACGTCACCAAAGATTGGTTATATAACCACATCACTCATCACCGACATGAACCATGATCCTATTGGTGACTGATCGACGTGTGGTACATGTTAGACATGAACTATCTTATTGATGACTTACGTGTGGTACATGTTAGACATAAACTATCTTATTGATGAATTACGTGTGGTACATGTTAGACATAAACTATCTTTTAGGTGACTGACGTGTGGTACATGTTAGACATCAACTATCTTATTGATGACTTACGTGTGGTACATGTTAGACACAAACTATCAATTTGGTGACTGACGTGTGTTACATGTTAGACATAAACTATCCTATTGGTGACTGACGTGTGGTATATGTTAGACATGATCTATCCTACTCGTGACTGATGTATGTCAGTAACATGAACTATCCTATTGGTAACTGACACGCGATCCATGAGTGACATTGTTGTGGGAGAGCTTCCAATATATATATGCTACCCGAATACAAAAATTGTTCAAAGCCGTTAAGAGTTGATAAATCCAGGCTACTGCATTCTATTAGCTGACAATCTCTTAGAAAAGGTGATTATTAACCCCTACCAATAGAGATAATTACTTTAAAATAGAATTCACCACCCGACTCCTAAACCCTGTTATAAAACAGAAATAAGAAACTAACTCACTTTTTAGACCATATCGCATTTGACCCTGCAGTGTAAATTTTTTTTATAGGGGTAACGCCCAGTAAGTTGGAAAGGTTCTGGATGAAGAGGTCCAAGGTTCAAACAAAATTTCTGCTGTAGATGTCACGTAACCCGAATAACTGACGGGGTAAATGGTGTCAGTTCATGCCTTCACCTGTATTGTACGTATAAGGGGGTGGTATACCCTCCGGAAAAACTTTTTTGTTTACGGACGGATCACTCTGAAACTTGGTACACATATGTAAAACAGAATTCGAAGACATTTTTGTTCGTGTGATTTTTTCGGAAAAATTGATAGAAAACGTGAAATTCATAGAAAACGGACAAAAAAGGGCGTACTGTAGAAATCTATCTCCTCCTAGGGTTTTGAAGCTACAACGATGAGACATAAACCATTCTATTCGTAAAGACCATACCAATCGAGTAACGAAGCCCGATTTTTGATTTTTGCCTTAGTTTTTTAACGCATTTGATTTTTTTTTTATTTTTCTCATTTTCCCACACCTTCCCCCTATTTTGAATCCAAACTATGCACAAATCTAAAAAAAGGACTTCGTTACTCGATAGGTATGGTCTTTACGAATATAATGGTATTCGTCTCATCGCTGTAGCTTCAAAACTCTAGGAGATAGGTTTTCCGTGACAAAAAGTTGAACTTTTCAGGACGGCGCGACAAAGTTCCGCGCCGTCCGCGACTTGTTGGGATTTAGAACTATCAGGCGCGTGAGAACCTCTTCTTCTTGTATTTCAAAACTTGCAAATTTAGAGCCGACTGGGCGCTCCTCAATAGCTGGAATACTGTTCAAGCCCTCTTCGGTGAATACGCTACTAAAAACTTATTAAGAACGGTAGCCTTGCCCTCGTCAGAGTATATCTTTCGTTGATCTATTTTCAAATCAGAACTACTGTCCGTTGTCTTGCACTTCGAGCTAGCGTACAAAAAGAAAGCTTTCGGGTTCTTTTTTTTTGCATTTTTGGCGATATTTTTTTTCGAAGACTTTTACTGCGGTGCGACTGCTTTCTTCAGCTTTATCTCGAGCTCTGGCGTATAGGTTGTAATCAGCATCGCTACGAGTCTGTCAATATCGATGGTATGCTTCCTTCTTGGTTTTCAGTTAAGCTAGAACCGTACTGTTCATCCACTGAGTTTTTCTGACTCCACCAAGCTTAATTTTAGGTTCACTACTGCAGACATAACCGTGCCCTTGAGAAATGACCATGACTCAGCCACATTCATGTTATAACCAATATATTGGGCAGACAAGCATGAGAGTTGCTTGTCTGCCCAATTAGTTACGAGTTTTGGTTGTTTGAAACACGATACAGCTTATTCTGGCAATAAATTAATATTATTGACAGTATTGTTGAATACTTCAGCTAATTTCTTCCCATGATACATTCATTACCGAGTTAATACCGAGTTAACTTTTGAATTGCGTCTTTTTGACCGAATTTTAAATAATTTGAAATGAATTCTCATTTCATTTTCGACATAAATATTGTTTTAATTTTAAAGATATGCACGAAAAAGATTGCAGATTACTAGAATACTGGTAACATCAACTAGACTACAAGTAACATCAATTTTAATTTTAATACAAAGCTTGTAATTCAGTTGCCATTATTTCACAGCCCAACATTTTGTTCCGATGCAATTACGTAAGAAAGTTATGCTGGATATAAGCTTTAGATGATGCCAGAAAAACTGCGCTCAATTGAACGCTGCAGGCGCCTATAGCATACTTGATTCAGCCGATTATGAGATTCTGATTTGATGCATCGCACTGCAAATGCATTGGCAGACAGCCAGTCGCATTCACATGACTGAATAGTACAGCATAAGTTACTATTGTATATGTACAGTATACAGATACAGTAGTTTTCAGACGTGTAGTAGCTGCCAGTCTTTATTGCCTGGTGACAAACTATAACAAACCACAAAGCATTTGCATGTCATTATTTTTGTTACATTTTCACTCAAGACTTTCCTCCTAGCTGAGATGGACGCTCGTGATATTGGCAAGCAAAAATTTACACTTATCCTTTCAAACAAAAAATTTTATTGAAGCATAATAAAAACAATGGCACGTATTAATACACAGCTACTTGAATATTTGTTTTCTTCCATTGAAGCAGATTTGAGATTTGAGTTGTTCTTTTTCTCCGCTGTTGTACTTCCCTAAGTCTCCGGCCAACATTCTGTTCCTATTGCTATACAACTTTTACTGGGCAGAACAGAAACACATCAATGAGGTGAGGATGTTTATTGGTACAACACAGAAAAGCTTTAGGAAGGTAGGTGAGGGAGATGTGAAATATCAGCTCTATTTCAACAGCAAAACTCAACAGCGACGTACGGTTCTTTAACAGCGTTGGAATCTGCCATCAGTAGAGCGCGTGATGCCGGGTGATGGAACACTAGTTGG